TGAGATTTTATGAAGTGTTATGTCATGTGATCTTCTAGATCACTTGCCTCCTTTATTATGATCATTTAGATCATTTGCTCATCTTCTTTATCAAGAAGTTTATTTGAAACCGACTTGTCTATATGCTTCAAGCGTACCATAGACTTTGTCCTTCTGGGACTTAATAGGAGCATTTGCAATGAGAATATAGTTACTTTCTTTGGGTCAACAAATGCATCTGGCATGCTTTGCAATATATTGCAGATGAATTATCCTTTTATGAACTTCAAGTTCATATTATTTTATTCGAGGATCTAGATGTATAAATGATAACTCATTCCATGTAACTTTTTCTCAACTGTTGTATCTTGTCTCCCCCTCATGTTAGAAAAGCTAACTTGTTTCCTCAACTTTGAGAATCCATCTTTGTGCGTTATGGTGTTAATCAAAATATACACCGCACATCAATAATAATAAGATGGAATTATTTGGTCCCTGACCATAAACCACTTGTGAGGGAAGAATTAATATACTTTCGTATATAACCTATATCAAACTGATATAGAAAACTTTGTTCTCATAAGAAATAGTTTAGCTATTAAGTGGAGGCACTCAATAAATCATTTTGCTAAACCAACTGTGATGTAAACCAACTTATCAAGAAGAACTTCTTGAATAAAAATCTGGAATATGCTCTAAATTAAATTATTGAGCAAGTTACCTCGCAAACACCATGTTGCGGGTTAATAATAATCGCACATGTAACCATCTCATAGATGCATCTTATGTGGTATACATGGCAGGTGAATGGGCCCATATTCACCTTTGATATTTTCAGCATTCATGGGATTCAATCCCAATTTTAGTTGATCTATTAATTAATGAGAACAAGCAATATAAGAGAATTCGTAAAGAACTTTCTAGTTCTTTAATATTTACCCATGTGAATTCTCTATTATTTTTGCACATCATACATGAATTAACATGGCTAAACCAAGTATGCCAATTGGACAAATTATCAATATTGATAAACTTCAGGTTTACACCATGATGTGTGCAATTATGAATAAACTCCAAGTTTATTATGATATGGGGTTTTATATCAATAAATATCACTTCATTGTGGTATTCTTTTGTTTATGTAGTACAAATTGGAGAATAAAGCGGGTAGCTTTTCACATACATATTACCCCGCTACAAGATGTAGTAATAGAAGATATTAAATCTTTCCTTTATTTATAGTCTCAATATAATCAACCGCTTTCACGTATACTTTGGAAACTGAATAAGTTTCTTTGAGACTTACTACAACACAATACCTTATTGGTAATTAATTGTGTTTCTCCAAAATAGTATAATTGGCTCTTGCAGAGTTCTCAATTAATTTTGTAGTACCACATATTCATCAACACCCAATATCTCTTTTAATGAGAAAGTTATACCATTATGGTTATGGTCAAAATTATATGCAAGATCTGTTTCTTGCATTACCGTTGACTTTTAATAATCACAATGCCAAAATATTTTGGCGTACAATAGGTACGTGACCAATGACCATGCATGCCATAATAATGATATTATTTTCTTATATCATCTCAAACCTCCTTCTAGAGGTGAGTGTGGTATATACCACTAGCACGCTCATATTCTTCCAAAAATGAATATGTATTCTTAAATCAGATGCTGTCACATTCACATCATGAATAGACCATAATCATCTATATGTGCTTTATAAAATCTCATGTCAAATCGATGACAAGTATTTTCACAGAGTGAAAGATTATTTTGAGAATCCTTATTGTTCTCATTACCACAAACGATGACGATTATAATTTCGTCTATTGCCACGTCCACATCCATGGATACATTCATAGTGATAATTTTGTCTTCTTTCAGACTTATCACATACTGCTATCACATTCTCTTAAGGGAATGAGAATAGAGCAAATTCAATGGGACGGGTTTCCACTTTTTGTGCCCATAATCATACATGAATTTGATCATGGCAAGACATAGAAATTTTACCACTTCAGGTGGTTATAATTTCTTACAAACTCCATTGAGTTATAATCAAACTTTGTTGTCTTTGCTTGTATATAAAATCAAAGTATAGAATAAAAGAGAAAAATACAGTAAAATACTTACCTTAAATCCAGAATTTAATCATGAAGGAAGTTCATGGAATAATTGACAATCATTATGCTCAATCCCAAAGCTTCTATTCAATTGGTTAGAGTCTCGTGCTGATAACGTGTTATAAAAGAACAAGAGCAATATTGCAGAGAAAGAGAGAGGGGGGATTCTTATTGATTTTGGAATGATTTACAATGGAATAGAACCCTCTATTTATAGGGAGAGGGTGACTTAGCCACCAAGTAATAAACCCTAGAATCTCTCTAAATATAGACATTCACCATAAATAAAATTCTATTTATAACAAAAAAAGTTTTGTCCAAGCACTATTAACTTTGAAAAAAAAAGTATTTTTTTGGAAAAAAAAAAGTACTTCTCAACTTGAAAAAGCTTGGCCAAACAGGCTTGGACTTGAAACAGGCTTGGAATAGAACTACCTTTGCTCCACGTCTTTGGACGGACTATTTCATCCACCGTCACATATCTAATCTTAATTGTCAATCCTCTTCACCCATTCTTTGGTTACAATGCTTCATCAATCACATTACTATGCAAAATGCTTTTCAACTCCCCAATTCGATTGTTATACCTTTCTGCCTCTAGCATATCTGGCTAAACAGAAATGCCAAAATTAAAGGACTTGAAGAAAGGTGAACATCATTTAAATCGCCAAATTGTAAAATAGTTACTTTTTAAATAGTTAATCAAACTTTAGTATTTTAAAATTATTTAAAGTTTACTTATTTTTAATATAAAAATAAAATTTGGATAAAAATTCCCGAACTAAAACAAGAAAATCCTCCAGCATAATTCAAGCTTCATAAAAAATTTCTAGACCTTAGTAGTTAGTACTACCGACTACGTCATTTCTTGAAGATTAGTTTTTCTTAAAGATGTTTTTTGATAGGTCTTATTTGGAAAAGAAATTGGCAATTCCCCAAAAGGAATTTATCAAAAAAGTTTCTTCATCCCTATTTAGATAATTTTGATAGTTTAGGGTGTGTTTGGTACGAAGGAAAATATTTTTCAGAAAATGTTTTAATTTTTTCATGTTTGTTGGCTTAAATTTTTTGGAAAATATTTTTCTTATGAACTCATTTTCCTAATGTTTTCCTTATCAAGAGAAGGGAAAATATTTTCCAAAACTCCTTCTCAATCTTCCCCACCCTCACCAACCCATCCTACCCCCTTCTCTCCAAAAAGACTTTTTTTTTCTTTCAAATTTCAGTTTTTATTTTTTCGTTTTTCTGCACCCCCCCCAAAAAAAAAAATATATTTTTTGTTATATATTTTCAATTTTAGTTTTTTCATCTTTCGGTTTATAGGCTCGAAATTTTACAAGTTTTAAAGTTATGAATTCGGAGGTTTATGTGTTTGGAAGTTTACGAGTTTAGAAATTATAAAGTTTACGGGTTCGAAAGTTTAGCGTTCGAAAATTTATGAAATTTGTGGGTTCGGAAGGTTGTTGGTTCAAGTTTATGGCTTCATGTTTATTGGGAGTATAAATTATTTGTACTCTTGAAAAGTTATTTTTCTAATTTGCGTACCAAACACCAAAAAATAAATAAAATTACTACTTATTTTCCAAAAAAACATTTTCCACATAAAACATTTTTCCTCATAGCAAACACGCCCTTAGAGTCCCCAAAAAGAAAGAAGCAATTTTCCTCATCTAAAGTCCTACTAATCCTTTAGCCTGAGTCCACTCAAAAAAGAGAAAACCAATGGGGGCGCTAAGGCTACCCGCTTTAACTTCAATCTTCACTTCCTCTTCCGTCAGGTCGCCGCCGGCACTGAAACATCGCCTCCGATTTCCTCTCCGTCGACCTTTCTCGGCGCAGAGTACCGTCCAGAAAGCGGTAGCTACAGAACTTGGAGATGGAAAGGCGGCCAAAGTTGTAGAGAAGGAGAAAGAGAGAGTGATAACTCCGCGTTATCAGGACTTCAACGCTTGGTATTTAGATGTAATTGCAAATGCGGAGCTTGCTGACTATGGTCCGGTTCGTGGTACCATGGTTATTCGTCCCTATGGTTACGCTATTTGGGAAGCTATACAGGTACCTTCTAATTAATATTCCAATGTTGATTAATTGTTTTTCTTTGTCCTAACGACCATTTTTTAATAAATATTTTTGTAGTTTTTGAATTGTGGTTTATAGTACTTTTAAGGGGTTTTGGGTATGTAAAGATTTTATTTTTTAAAATATAAGAAATTAATTTGGCATGATGATGACATGAGTTGAGCTTAAATGGAGAAACATGGACAGTGAGAACTATATAGCCGACACAACTTGTTTGGTACTGAGGTATAGTTGTTGTTATTGTAAAATATAAGGAATTAATGCCCGAGATGAATTTGAACATCATTCATTTGTAAGAAAGAAGAAATTTTCTCAATATGTTTATATTTTAACAATTTTGGAGTAGCCCGAGCCATTTTTTTCTTTTATTGTCAACAGGTTAAGTGCATTCTTGCATTTGCTTTAGTTCCCTGTTTTCAATTTTTAGAATATTTTATTAAGACTATTATTGAAAATTGTGGTTTTTAGTACTTCTCTAATTTTGGAGTATGTCAAGATTGTAATTTTAGGAAATAAGGAACTAATATCCGACATGAATTGAAAATTAGATGGTTCTATCTTATATGGAAGCACCATTATTCGTTTGGAACTTTACTTTAATGTGATATCTGAGTTTTGTTTTGATTGGGTTTATTAATTGTTGATTGGTGCAGGATTACTTGAATGTGAAGTTTAAAGAAACTGGACACAGTAATATGTATTTCCCACAGGTGGAGTTACTCTTTCAACCTGTGGAGTCTTCTTCTTTTGACATTTGTTTTCCTTGTGAATTAGTAATTCTATTACTTAGTAACTGTTAGTGTGACTTGAAATATGAAGTTTTTGGTAAATGGTAGGTTAGGAGTTGGCCGTGAATTGATGTATGAGTTATTATGATTTGGCCGTGAATTGATGTATGAGTTATTATGATCTTATTGTAAAAAATGAAACTTTTGCTTTTATATTTGTTGGAATATAAGGCTTTTCCTGTGCAAATTTTCAAGGTGGATTCATTTTTGTGATTAGCATGTGATGATATATTAATGTATCTTTTGTTTCTTTGCCTCGACTTTTAGAAAGTGCACGAGCATAACGTAGTGGGAAGACTGGAATTGATTTGATAGTTTGATAATCATGTTGATAGCACTGCTGTAAAGTATAGTTTTTTTCATTTTCGTGTTATAGTGTCATTATATGTCAGTGAAGGTCCTTCTGCACTGTCTGGTTACAAGTAGTGGTATTAGAGTTAGGAAAAAGAGATGATAGTATGACATATCAAATTATCTATGAGCACCACCTGGATATCCCCCTTTGCATATTATCAAATTTTGCTCTTACATGTGGTTACGTGCCAGAGTTATCCTTTTCGCACAATTATTGCACAAATGAATAATTTGTTGATGTCGCTCAAATATTGCATAAAAAGTCTAGAAATGATAGTTCCTTGGAATGACTTAGTCACCTCTTTTCTTTTCTTTTCTTTTTGAGAGAGTATTCTGGTAGTTCAAATTTGCTCATATTACTTTTCTATTGAATACCTCGGCGGTGTTGTTTTACTTTCATCATGTGTCACTCATACATGTTATTATTCCAGTTTATACCCTATTCCTTCATTGAGAAAGAAGCTAGTCATGTTGAGGGTTTTAGTCCAGAATTAGCTCTTGTTACTGTTGGAGGAGGAAAGGAACTTGAAGAAAAGCTTGTGGTAAATATCACTGCCCTTTTATCTTTGTCAAAAAGATATCACTGCCCTTTTATCTTTGTCAAAAAAATATCACCGCCCTTTTATGACATTTTTTTTTGGTAATTAAACATTTTTATTTACCAAGTAATATTTACAAAACATTCTATTCTTTAGTTTGATCTTGGACATCATCCCCAGATTCAAACTATATCTCTCAATGCTATGTCTTCTAACTACTCTCCTATTTACATGACATTAGGGTAGTAATGAAGAACTAGTAATCTTTTCTTCAACCGTTGCATCATGCTACCTCGACCATGGATTTCTTGAACAAGTTGTCTAACAATTACTTCAATGCTCCTCTCTTTCTCTTGGAATATCCTTGAGTTCCTCTCTTGCCATATGCAATAGACTGCACCAGCTAGGGACATTCTGTATACTTCTGCCGTAGAGCTCCTTCCATTGTAATGCTTTGCAGCCCATTCTAACTCTTGTCCCCATTCCATCTCCTATCTTTGTATTCCTTGCCACTGCAGTAGTGTTCTCCATATCCTTGCTGAATAAGAACATTTAAAGAACAAATGCTCAATTGTTTCTTCTGTTGTTTTACACAGTATGCACCCTGTACTCTCAACACCCCCCCATTTATTTAGTCTATCTCGTGTTAGCAATCTTCTGTGAGCAGCCATTAGCAGTGTAAACTTCCACTTAGGCATTCCTGCATTGTTGCATGTAATTCTCCTCCATGGAACTTTAGTAAATTCACCTCTGAGCTTCAAATACATTGCCTTGGTTGAAAACTTGTCCATCTGCATAAACTCCTCTTCTGTCAGCCCAGCTTCCTCCACTTGCTTCTTTGCCTTCAGTATTTTTTGGACCACCCACGATGCCTGCTTTGGGATACTGCCTGCAATCATGTGTCTTTTGTAGTAGAGGTGCATCCATTGTATCCACATTTTGTCTTTCTTTTTGCTAAGGTTCCAAAGTAGCTTACATATAGCTGCTTTATTCCAGCTTCCTATATCCAGTATATTCAAACCTCCAGCTACTTTTGGCCAGCATAATCTGTCCCAAGCAACAATGCTTTCTTTGTGATTTCTACCCCTCCAGTCCATAGGAATCTCCTGCATATACTCTCTATTACTTGTATCAATTTCTTTGGCAGTATGAACACTTGTGACCAAAATACTTGTATAGAAAACAATACACTCTTGATTAATTGAACTCTGCCTGCATAAGATAGGAACCTGACAGTCCATGATTGAATTCTTCCCAGCATCTTCTCTATCAATGGTTGACATTGTACCACTGATAATCTTTTAGTACTTAAAGGAACCCCTAGGTACCTTACAGGCAATGATCCTTTACAAAATCCTAGGGTCTGTAATATCTTATGTTCTGTATCCTCACTAACTCCACCAAAGAAAACTGAGCTCTTGTTAGTATTTGCAGCTAGTCCAGAGGCTTTAGAGAATTCTTGAAAGCATTGGTAGAGTAGTTGTACAGAGATAGTGTCACCTCTGCAAAAAAGCAACAGATCATCAGCAAAACTTAGTTGTACTATGTTCATCTTAGTACATTTAGGATGGCAGTTGAAATCTGGGTTCATCTTCAGTGTCTTCAGAGTTCTTGTCAAGTACTCCATGGCCAATACAAATAGATATAGAGACAATGGGCCCCCCTGCCTCAGTCCCTTCCTTGCATGAAATGGTGGTGTATGCTGCCCATTGATAGTGATAGAGTAAGATACACTTCTCACACACTTCATGATCCAGTTGACAAATCTCCCAGGCATTTGTAAATTCTCCAGAACTTGTTCCATATAGTCCCAGTCAATAGAGTCATAAGCCTTCTTCATATCAATCTTCATCATGCATCTTGGTGACACACCCTTCCTGCCATACCCTTTGACTAATTCATGGCTAAGTATGATATTATCATTTATCAGCCTCCCTGGCACAAAGGCAGACTGGTTTCTATCGACTATATCATCCATTATCCCCTACAGCCTGTTTGTGATCACTTTTGAGATTATTTTATATAGTATAGTACGGCATGATATTGGCCTGTACTCAGTAATACTAGTAGGATCCTTCACCTTTGGTACAAGGGTCACTGTTGTACAGTTAATAGGTTGATAGAGCTCAGAGTTTGTGAAGAACTCCATTACTGTCTCGGTCACTTCCTCACCAATCACTGGCCAAGCCTTCTTATAAAATAGAGCATTGAACCCATCACAGCCAGGTGCTTTATTATCTCCAATTCCTAACAGTGCTTCATGAATTTCCTCTTTAGATACATCTTTAGCCAATTGAATTTCCCCTTTTATGACATTTATTTACTTTTCTGCTCTTAATTGACATGTCTTATACAGCGTACTAGTAAAATGGCGGGTGCACTCTTAGTGGATCATTTAATCCATGTTCTACCACAATAAAAGGGATTGTAGGTGGTGTGCGAAAGGAAAAAATATACTGGTAAATTGCTAGTACCTCCAATTACCTAGTGAAAAAAAACTTGCAAATACGCTCACTTTTTTGAAAATGTAGCTGATATGGGCCATCCAAAACCAAGAATAAGGAAACTAAATCCCCGCAATCTTGAACCATTGCTAACCTTCTCATTTCAATTGGATACACTTGGGAAGATTCTTATTAATGGCATGAGCTTATGCCCCTAATTATGAATGTATGCTTGATTTTCATCAAGAGAAGTCTCTTGGTTAATAAACTAGCTTGGTCAAATTACTTTGTAATGTGTCTGTGAGTGTGTGCCCGCGCCACCTGGGCCAAGCTTGTCTTAATCCTTTTTGCCTATAGAATTCTACCTAAAGAAGGATTTTCCAAAGACTAATCTACTAGCTTAAACATTTAAATACTATTATGTAGGACATATCCAGATTAAGGCAAAAATAGTAGACGTACAGGAAAAAAGCACAGGGGAGACTCATGTCATTTTACCAAATTTTGGTTGTGTCAGTGGGTAATAGTAACGGGAAGGGCCCCACTATAACGACTTATCATCCTCAGTTACCATGTTCTTCTGAGAATTGAAATTATCATCCGCCATAATTGCGTCTGCGACAAAAAGAATGAGTTGATTGCTCACATTGTGACTTTAGAAGCCAGGATGGCTTAACTGTCTATCTTTTGAAAGAGTATTTAGTTAGTTAATATCCCAAAGCTGCTCAGAGGTTTTAACTTAAAATTTTAGTTATTTAAGATATGTCATCTTTAATACTGGTTATATTTCAACAGTATGATCTGAATATGGGTTTGATCTTTTACCTTCTTGAGGTTCTGGCAGGTTCGACCTACTAGTGAAACAATTGTTAATCATATGTTTACTCAATGGATCCACAGTTACCGTGATCTTCCTCTCATGATCAATCAGGTTTCTTTCAATTGCATCCTTCATTTTTACTGTGTTACCTCTAAGAAATGAAACTATTTTGATTCTCATTTTGTACCATCTAATGTGTTTCAGTGGGCAAATGTCACAAGATGGGAGATGCGAACCAAACCATTTATTAGGACGCTTGAATTTCTTTGGCAGGAGGGCCATACTGCCCATGCCACTGCAGAGGAAGCAGAAAAAGAGGTCTTTATCCTTTCTATATGCCCCTATATTCTCTAGTTAGTGCCATTACTAATTTTCTTATAACACGTTGCTACTTGCTGAACTTCAGGCAATGCAGATGATCGATGTGTATATAAAATTTGCTTATGAGCAAGCTGCAATACCTGTTATTGCAGGTAGGAAATCTAGGGTGGAGACGTTTGCTGGTGCTTCAAGGACCTATACAATTGAAGCAATGATGGGAGACAGGAAGGCTTTGCAGGCTGGCACAAGCCACAACCTTGGTCAGAATTTTTCGCGTGCATTTAATACACAGGTAAATTTGAAATGTAAAAAATATGAATATGTTGATAATTACCTTCAGTCGGAGCGTCTTTCATCATCTTTGTTTAACTGGTTATCTTAGTATAACAGTTTTAATGTTTAAACAGTTCACAGATGAAAATGGGCAACGACAACATGTCTGGCAGACATCATGGGCAATTAGCACTCGCTTTGTGGGAGGTATTATCATGACACATGGGGATGATGCCGGCTTACTGCTGCCCCCTAGGCTGGCACCTGTGCAGGTTCTTAAAACTTCTTTTTGACCGGTTAATTTTCATATCTAGCAAGTTTTGAGTAATCGTCTTAGTTGTGTGATTGACTGGTTTATGTGACAGCTTTTAAAAGTTCTGATTGTGAATCACCATTTCAAGTAGTATCACAGGAATAGCAAATTACATATAATTCAGTGGACAGAAATTGAGTTGATCTGCTGTATACCCCTGCTTTGTGTTCTATTTTAGCATGCTAGCTGTTCATCTCTTCCTTTATCTTGTGTACTAACGCATATAATGGCATTCTGAAGATGTTAAATTTCGACCAGTGGGTCACGGTGATTGAATATTTTGCTTGTTGGATGCTCCCAGGTTGTTATTGTCCCAATATGGAAGAAGGACAATGAGAAGACGGGAGTTCTGACTGCTTCATCATCTGTGAAAGAAACTTTACAAGCTGCAGGGATAAAAGTGAAGATTGATGACACGGATCAGAGAACGCCTGGGTGGAAATTCAACTTCTATGAAATGAAGGTGTGTATCTCTATGGAAATTCATAAGTCACAATATATGGACCTAAAGTTCAGAAGAAATGACTACCAAATGAAATCTGTGAGAACATGCGTTTCAGTGTTTCATCAAGTAGAAAGCCAGGTGTTTTAGTCAGTGATAGTTTAAAAATGCTTGCTGTGTTGTTGGCCTTAGTTTTGAAATTTCTCTTCTTTGGATGAAGTTCTTTTTCTACTCTGACTGTTTTCTTGGAGGAGGATAGGATGATATAATCAGTGCTTAGAGTTGGTAGTTTGGTACACATGGTTATAGGCTATATCTGCCACCATGACTGAGGCCAAATGTTAAGTGTTTGTTTGATAATACACTCTAATACACCTTGCTCCTATGTAGGGAGTCCCTTTGAGGATTGAAATTGGCCCCCGAGATGTTTCAAGTGGAACCGTGGTCATCTCTAGGAGAGATGTTCCTGGAAAGCAAGGGAAGGTTTTTGGAATATCCATGGAGCCTTCATCCCTGGTGGCTTACGTCATAGACAAGTTGAATGAGGTTCAATCATCCCTTTTGGAAAGGGCAACAACTTTTCGTGATAGGTAAGTTCTAACCATTTTGTTATTTTGCTTGCAGTATAATGAACTGCATTTTCTGCCGCACACTTTTTCTTCCATTCGGTTTTCATTTGATTATAACTGTTGTTTGACCTAAATTACTAGAAATATCATGGGCGAAAACAAGAAAACTGACTCCAATGAAGCCCACACATGTTCTAAAAGTATGCGACAAGGACAAACTAAAATTCCTCACTGTAATAGCTCTAGGACCTAGTTGCATAATGTAAGATGAACATCTATTTTGCCTTTAGAAGCATCGAAGAACAATGCACTTGTGACTAAGCTTAAAATAGAAGTTCAAATTTGGACACTGTGTAAAAAGTCAAGAGTGATAATCCTAAGTTTGTAACTTGTTAATAGAATCTAATGCATTTTTTACACATAGTATACATTCAGCATTCTGTACCAATTATAAATGCAAGTTATGCAAACCTTAACAAGCTTTTGAGCTTACCAGTTGTTGAAGTGATATTTAACCTTAACAATATTTTTGCTGGCTATCAAAGTTTTTCAATGATCACAGGTTTGTGGATTATAATATGTATAGAGTTTGCATCAAAGATTTACCCATCACCATTTGCCTTGGTGTCTGCGTTTCATGCATCTCTTTCTGTTGGATATTGAGTTTCTGTCTGATTTGCTGTTGTCTTATATCATTCCAGTAACATCGTGGACGTGTATTCATATAATGAACTTAAGGAGGCAATAGCTCAAGGAAAATGGGCGAGGGGACCTTGGTCAGCTAGGTAAACCTCTTCTTATATTTTCATTTGTTTCGCATCTGGTGTCAGTTCTTGTATATTTTTTGTCGGTGATCCGGGACTGATGTGTTAATGCAATACTTAACAAAACAGTGACGAGGAAGAATTGAAGGTAAAAGAAGAAACAGGAGCAACCATTAGATGTTTCCCTTTTGAGCAGCCTGAGGGACCAAAGAAGTGCTTGATGACGGGCAAACCAGCAGATGAAGTTGCAATATTTGCCAAATCTTATTAGCAACTTATGTCGCTTATTGGCTTTTTATTTTGAGATTTGATTACACTGTCAAAGTGATAAGGGTTAGTCTGGCCTTCATATTTAAATGCACCATTAAGATTAGTAAAAATGCAGGAAAGGAAAACGTCTGTGCCCTTTTACGGAGGTCATGTTGTAAAGGACGGGACTTAACACTCATTATGCAGCAAAGCACACACCACATAAATGTCGCTGTCAACCAAATTAAATTCAATTTTTGTTGTTGTTTTGAGTGAGAGCAGACTACCAACGATAGGGATGAAGTTTAATTGCATCTTGTGTGCGTATTAAGGGTGTGTTCGGTATGAAAGGAAAATATTTTTCAATTTTCCCATGTTTGGTTGGCTTAAATGTTTTGGAAAATATTTTCTTTATGAACTCATTTTCCTTCAATTGGAGTAAAATGTTTTTCTTCTCTTAACATTTTCCAAAACTCCTTTTCAACCTTTCCTGCCCTCACCAACCCACTCACCCCTCTCTCCAAAAAAAGTTTTTTTTTTCCTTCAAATTTCAGTTTTTTCCGTTACCATCCACCCTACTATCCCTCCACCCCCATCCCTCCCCACCCCCATCCACCGCTAACAAACTACTTTTAATTTGCAATTTCAAATTTTTTTTTTCGTTTTTTCCGTCATTTCTGTCCCCCTCCCCTACCCCCCCCCCCCCCTCTCTTGAAAAAAATATTTTTTAATATATTTTTCAGTTTTAGTTTTTTTATTTATCAGTTTAAAGGTTCAAAATTTTACAAGTTTCAAAGTTATGAGTTCGGAGGTTTATGTGTTTGAAAGTTTACGGGTGAAGGAATTATAAAGTTTACAGGTTCGAAATTCCGCGGTTTCAAAAGTGCAGTGGTTCGAAAGTTTATGAAAAATGTGGGTTCGGAACGTTGTTGGTTTGAAAGTTTATGACTTCATGTTTATTATATCTAAATTATTTATGAATGCTCTTGAGAAGTCATTTTCCTTAATTTACGTACCAAACAACGGAAAATGAATAAGATTACTACTTATTTTTCAAGAAAACATTTTCTTGGAAAATATTTTCTCCTAAACGTAAAACTCGAGTCTGTCAACCCGACTGGGTGAATTTGCTCTTCATTTGTTGTCCATCTCTACTACATCTGGCATTTACAACTTGAATATGAAATGGTTAGTGTGTCTAAATTTGTACTGTTAAAAGGACTACTCATTGTAAGTTAATGAGTTGAAGCAGCTCACTTTGTTTTATAGTGACCATTAAATTAAAGTGTTAATGCATGCTTGTGCGAGGGTTCAGATTCAAGAGTATTTTAAGGGAAAAAAGAGAAAAGCATACTAGAGAAAATTTGGGACTTGTACAAACAAAATGGTAATTGGGGTAATTCTGGGAAGTACCTGCAAGTTCAAGATAATAACCACCATAAAAGTTATAGATAATAACAGCAATGATATTAGTAACACTCAACAACTCGAGCCCAAAGTGTTCTTGTCATAAAGTTATAATTTCACTAATAAAAATTCCAGAGGAATACAATTTTAATCAGTAAATTCCAGAGCGATAATTAGAGATAAAAGAAAACTAAAGTTGAAATATGAATCCCCAAATGGACCTATTGAAAATCAGAGGCCATAGGGTGTCAAAATGTGTACTATTCACTATCTTCTACCTTTCAATCATTAGACCTTCGCCTTTCTTCTTTCTCTCTAATTTTTTACAGCAACTCTTAACCCTTGAACAAGCTGAATACATTTTTGACAAATAGAAGTAACAATAAAACCTCAATACTTATTTGCAAATAGCCAAAAAAACACAGATTTCAAGAAACACCAAATGGAAAACAAGTAAATGGAAAACCTCCATCACACAGGTGTAGATTGCCAGAATCTATACTGTTTCTAAAGATTACCCTGCCAAATAGTAAGCTTTCTGTATGACCTTGCAATTTATATTCGTTTGTATCATAAAAGGCTCTGGTATCATCCGACTTCAACACATCTTTATTTGCTTCTTTCTCAAAATGCTTAATGTAATTCTTTAAGTCACCATGATTCGAATAGTTTTCTGGTGACTTGTGACCAAAAGAGAACTGAAATTGTTGTCCCCTTGCTGGATCACTGCCTCTTTGCTCGACTTGATCTAGTAGAGGATCATCATTGCAGCTGTTGGCTGTTAAACTTGAACCCTCATGACTATCTGGGTGCTGAGTGTGGCCAGCTACTATCTGTAGAAGAAAATAAACTTTATGTATGAATAAATTGTAATCCACCATCATGATTCTTCACTGTAATTTAAGATGTTATTCTCCTAATAGGTGTGCCAATGAATAAGGGTAGGGAAAGGAGAAAAGGAGAGGATATTCTAATATAGGTTCATGACCATATGAGTTTTCATGACATTCAAGGTTGCTTTCAATGCTCACTTGGTGATAAATAAGCAAGAGAAATAGAGCTTAGATATTCCAATTCCATACATAATTTGCTGGTCTAGACCTGGGGACGGTAGAGGCTGCTGCCAGAGGAGGCTAGTAGTGTTAATTGTATAATTATGTGTCAAAGATCATGCTTCAGTGCTTCACAAACAAGGCTTATGGAGGTGGCACATTAAACATCTCACAAGCTCACCATATCTGCAACCACGCGAATTAAAAATAAAAGGAACTGAAAAATGAACAAAAAGGGTTAGTTACAAGGGAAGTTGTATCTCCATTTACACAAGGGGCAGGGTGATTTTCCAGTTTCTATGCGATCTGAGTCCCATTAGGGGTCTACAATTTTATGTTTACGTTATTTTATACTATTTTTAATGAGAAAAAATGTTCTGGATTTGGATTTGTGAGGGGTCTACAAAATTCTTTTCTTTTATTTATAATCGAGAAAGAATGGTCCAAGGACCAATGGCATATGGTGCAGCTTGGCGGAAAAAAGGTCCGCCCCTTTACGCTTGCTAAATATGGCAAGAACCTTTACTATGTAAATATTGAGTCTTTCAACTGCAGTCACTTGCAGTTTACACTACTTCGGTAACTTTTTAAAGCAGGATATTATTAAGATGACTTTGGTTCCTTGAACCGAGGGTCTACCAGAAACAACCTCTCTACCTACATAAGGTAGGAGTAAGGTCTGCGTACATACTACCCTCCCCAGACCCCACTTGTGGGAATACACTGGGTATGTTGTTGAAGATGATTTTAGTAGTCACAATGAGCAGTGAAGTACATTTGATACCCGGGAAGCAATGATATACCAATCACCTCAGGAGAATATGAAGAATAATCCATCACACAGACATCAGCCTTTCAGTGACGATCATAAAACCAGTGTTTCAATTATTCAAAGAACAGATGAATGAAGTTAAAACTATCGATCAGATAAAAAAAAGAACCTGTTTGTAGTTGGAGTAACTTACCGGGAAAGACGTTGACATAGTGCTTGGACTCCCTAGTAGGATGGGATCGGTTACACCAGTTGTAGTAGTAGCTCCACCTAAGCTGTGAGATAGGTCTTCCGGTGCTGAGAAGTCAGAGCTATCAAAAGTTGATATGGATACACATTCATCAAAATATGACAGTGCTTCTTCAGTAAGACGTTTTGACATTTTTTTCCTCTCATTACTTCTCTGCAGTGGAAATACAAGGACAAAGAGTGTAAGCATACATAGTAAGATGTCAAAACATTATGGCACACAAGGCTCATAACGGCTTCTAAATTGTTCAGATGACAGTGCCTGAGTTCAAGATTCAAGTTCAGTGCAGATCTAGGTGGTGCCTCTCCAAAAAGAGACATTAGAACTTTTTCTTTACTCTTTTCATAGCAAAAGAACACGTTCAGTAGTTGCTGAAGTTAAATGGCAAGAAGGATGAAAGAAAGTAACAAAAGGACATGACAAACACAGCTTCATCTCATTGTCTTGTTTGTGTAATACCTTCTGATGGATGTGAAAACTTCTAACAACAACAACAACAGTGAACCCAGTGTAATCCCATGAATGGGGTCTGGGGAGGGTAGTGTGTATGTAGACCTTACCCCTACCTTATAAAGATAGAGAGCCTGTTTCCGATAGACCCTCAGCTGTGGATAAGTTGGGCCTTCTGGCCAACATACAATCATACTGGTCTCACAAAGTTTTATAGAGCTTGCATTTTCACTTTGGTAAGTATTTCTTATCGCATAGCAATCCTATAGCACTTCCCCACTCCAGCCATCCTAAATAAAACTCCATATGTTTTACTTCATCTGGAACAAAGGAGGGGTTTGGCGGGGGGGGAGGGGGGGGGGGGGAGAGAATAAGGAAAGATAAAGAGTTAATATATGCAACCACAAGATTGGGTCCCAACTCTCTGGATCTAGAGGTAAGAAAGAAGAAAAGAGGAAAGGCCAGCAGCTCCCTCAATCTCAAGCCAGAGGATGACAAAGAGAACTCTGATGCACCTATCTCTGCATACACTGCTGCACACACACAGTCGTTGCTATTAATACTTCAGTTTTCTCTCACAGCATCCAAAATGCCTGGAAAACAATTGCAGCTAAAGAAGTATACCAACTTTATATACTACATCAACAAGAATAATATCATATTATGACATGGATATAGCTTAAATTTTTCATTTAGCACCTTTTCTTTTTCCTCTTTTCTGTTTTAAGTTAGAGATGGAGAAGGCAAAAAACAAAGAAAACCTACTTTTCTTCCTGCACGAGATCTCTGAGGAGGTGAGGGCTTTGTACCAGACAGTATCTCCTTGAGAATCCTACTTATCTCCTGCCCTCGATGCTCTTCAACAGCTAGATCTGATCGAAGTTTTCTAGCCCGCTCTTCAGACTGCAAAATTCATGTAACAGTGAACTTCACTGGATGATAAGGAGATTGAAAGAGAAAAGTATGAGTACAGTTGTAACAATGGCATCAGAAACTGTGAGATCAGAATACTCTTTAGTTGTAGCCCTATTGCCAACCAGAAATGTAGCAAAATCTGAGCCAACCAACAGAAATTTGGTGCACTTTCACTTTAAACAGCAGATACAGAAGCACAATATAAGAATGGCCAAAAGAATTATCCCCCTATCAATCCTCAATGAAAAGAATCACCTCATCAAGTTTTCTGGCATATTCCCTTCTGATGTCTAAAGCTAATTCAACAGCCCCAGAGTTGACCAAGTTAGGTGGGATATCAGGAACATTAGCAGTTGCAATAGCATTAACATTGTTCTTTCGGATAGCCTAAAATAAACACCAGATAAGAAAAATTGTAAGAGCCAGCTTTTA